ATAACACAGCCCAACATCCCCATCCCCCTTTAACAGCTCTGACCCCGCCAGTGTCAATTCAGGGTTAAAGTTTTCGAAAGTTGATCCAAACTAAAAGCAAAAGCTCTACACCTGACGCTGAAAATTTAGGTTTAAATACCATTTTGATCCCTCAACTTTTCACTTTGATCTTAAATTGTCCTTTATCTTTAAAAAGTATCAAAATTATCCTTAAACTTTCATTTTCGATACCAAAATGATCATTCCGTCAGTTAAATAGACAAGTGGCACGTTAACTTGCTATCAAATCAATTCTTTTTTTCTTAGCTAGTGACATGGAAAAAAAAAAACATAGTCGACCTTCTTTTTTTATAAGTTGACATTCTTATTTAATTTAAAAATAATAATGTTGCTTTTTTCCATCCACATCCAAAAAAAAAAAAAAGATCTTTTTTTCCTCTTTCACTTTCTCTTCCCTTTACCTTTCCTTTTTCCTTACCTCTGCACACCCAGATCTGGGTTTTCTCTCTCAACCTTCATCTTCTTCCTCTTTTCCTCCTTCGACAGTTTTACCTCCTCATTCTCTATCAACCTTCCTCCTTCCTTTCCTTACTCATCCTTCTTCTGTCTTCTTTTTATTCTTTATCTCTCTTTCTCTCTCTTCTCCTTCCTTTCTCAAACCCAGATTTGGTTTTTTTTTCAAACCCAAATTTGGGTTTCTCTCTCTCTCTCTCTCTCTCTCTCATCTCCCTTCTTCTTCCGCCTTGTGTTATTGGTTTATTGATGAGAGATTTTGAATCATTCTTCAAATTTGTTTGTTTGGCAGTTTTCTGATTGGAATTTTGAAAATATGGTTTGTACAAGGGAAATACACCATTTTGCAACAAAGGTTGCAAACAAGAACAGATAAACTGTTGATTAGGATTTCATAGCATGAACCCCTTGAGTTTCTCATCCTAAAGCCTAGCTTATTTGGATTGATCACCTAGAAATTCATGATTCATAGCACATGAACCGACGTCACTACGCCTTGTCCCTTACACTTTGTTTGGATTGAGGAAATTGGGGAGGAAGGAGAG